GGGACTCGATCGTGAAGCCAGTGCTGGAGTGGTCTCATATGGAGTAATCTGAGCGGCGTGAAGCGGCTGCGGATGCCATATGCCCCAGGAGCCTCTGAAATAATTTCAGTGGGACCACTATTTTGCTGTCGAGCTCTCTCAGACAGTTCAGCATCAGCTGAGCACGCTCTCCGGAGAGGCGCGCTCCCATGGTGATCGAGTCCAGCTCCAGCCCGAGAGAAGAGATCCTCTGCACGGGGGCGAGTTTGCTCTTTTCTCGGTTGACCTGAAACCCCAACAGGTGGAGGTGCCGGAGCACTTTGTCTCTGTGCATAATCAATTGCTCCCGAGATTGGGCTAAATCCAGCCAGTCGTCACGATAATTGAGTATGCGGATGCCCGCGAGCCGAAGGGGCACTAAGGCACCCTCCGCGATCTTGGTGAGGACCCGCGGAAACAGAGAGAGCCCGAAGGGGAGGACTTTGTATTGCTAAGCTCGACCTTCAAACGCAAACTGCAGAAACTGACGGTGGCAAGAAAGAATGGAGACATGGAAATACACGTCCTTCAGGTCTATTGCTGCAAACCAATCCAGAGATCAAACGCACCGGAGGATGCTCTTCTGCGTGAGCATTCTGAACGGCAGCTTGTGCAGACAGCGGTTCAAAACGCGCAGATCTAGGATTGGCCGTGACTCACCGCTCTTTTTGGGCACGATGAAATGCGGGCTGTAAAACCCACTCTACATCTCGGCTGGAGGGACTGGCTCGATTGCATCCTTCGCCAGGATGACAGCAATCTCCTCTCGCAAGACAGGGGCGGACAGAGGGCTGACCCTGGTGAATACACACCTGTGAACTTTGGGGGCCGTTTCGCGAACTGAACCGCATAGCCGAGTCTGATTGTGCGTATGAGCCATCGTAAAGGGCTGGCCCGCGCTAACCAGGCAGGCAAAGCTCTCGCTAATGGACTCATCGCTACAATCGCTGACGTACCAGCAGTGGGGCAGCGTGGAGTGGGTGTGCTGATCCGGGAAGCGCGAGAGTCCCGCGGAAGAGCTGGAGGCGAGAGATTTGCTCTCACTCTGCACCCAAGCTCCGGAGGTGGAGGCTCAAGGGGAGGGAGAAAGGAGACCGTCCTCCCAGCGCTCGTGAGCCACTGGCTTACGTTCCCGCCGATAGGTGACATTACCCATAGCCTCAGACTACTCTCTCACCACCTTGAATTCCTGAGTGAAATCACAGACGGTGTCACCGAACAGGCCAGCTTGGGATATGGGGGAGTCAAGAAAGCAGACTTTGTCGACTTTGCGCATATCAACCAAGTTTAGCCAGAGGTGGCGCTCCTGGAACACTAATGTGGACATCGTCCTCCCCAACGCACACGCAGCAGACTTAGTGGTCCGAAGAGCATAGTCGGATGCGGTGCGAAGCTCACAAGCCTGGGTTGGACCCACCCTCGTGAAGCTCGGCCAGAGCCTGCGTTTGGTAGCGCTGGTAGGTAGCCATCGCGTACAAGGCGGAAGCAGCCTGGCCCGCAGCCATGTAACAGGAAACCACCGCATCCAGAAATGCACGGTCAGAGCGCCATCCTGAAAAGGACGTGCTGCACGACTTTGTTGCTCTTTTTGTGATGTTGCAACTTTATATGCATCGCTCTGGAGGACCGGACCCAAAAAACGCAGGGCAAGGGAGAAACCCAGCTCGACCGTCTGCCGCTGCGGGTACACACTCTGGACCGGGAGAATGCTCTCGTTCGCTCGAAAATGCTGGCTGACAGCAGGAGGAACCCTCATCGACTCTCTCAGAAGGATGTAATAGTCTATGAAGCGAAAAGGATGGCGTTTCCTTGCTTTCCCTGTGCTTGTATGCGGAGCTAATTGGCAATAAGTTCCAGGTGCGCAAGCTTACGCTGCCAACTCATTTGGCATTTCATTGGCCCGTTATATACTCTTTCAGACAATTGGCTTTCTGAAACGAAATCCCCATTCGTGGATTAATAAATAAATCCACTTAAAGCATTGAAGTTCCCCATCCGAAGGGGTACATGCATACTCCACACAGAAATGCAAACTGACCCAGCCGGGGCTTGAACCAGCGACCTTCTTGCTGTGGGGTGACACTGCTAACCACTGAGCCACCATAATATAATAAAATATTGGCAATATATATCAATATGGGAGTCCATGTTTATATATAGTGTGGCCTAGTGCTGACCCTGAATAGTAGATTTGAATTTAAAGCTGTCATTGTAGGTGCCTGATTCAACTGCCAATCTCTCAGTCGAATATTTGCTGGTATTAAGAAACACAGATCATGCCATTTTTTCTCTATAGTGGTTCCTCAATGTCTAATTTCACATTGAACTACTTGTAAGGGAACTCTTGCAGATTTTTTTTTCTCCTTCCTCCCCAGTTTCAGCACAAATGTAATGCAGTTCAGTCTTCATACTTGAAGGGAAGGAGGCGGAGGGGACGCAAATACTATTTACTCACCCTCAAGTGATTATAATCAAGTGATTCGAAACTTTTGTGAGTTTCTTTTTTCCGTTGAACACAAGATGACATGTTTTGAAGAAAGCTGAAAGCCTGCAACCATTGACATCCTTAGAAAAAACAAACACTATGGGCTCTATTTTGACAGTCCATGGGCAAAGAGCAAACCGCAGGGCGCAGGGCACAGGGCACAAACGCTTTCAGGGTGTGCCAGAATCCACTTTTGCTAATACAAGGATGGAAAAATCCGCTTTGCACCGTGGCACATGGTCTAAAAGGGTTGAGCTTATTTTTTTAATGACTTATAGGTGTGTTCTGAGAATAAACCAATCAGAGTCTCATCTCCTATTCCCTTTAAGAGCCAGTTGCGTCGCGCCATAAGCGCATTTGCTATTTACATGAGGACTTTGTAAGTGGAAAAATTGAGCATTTCACTAGCAAGAAAACAGTTAAACAGAGCATCTGCAGCGCGAGAATGAGAGATAAGGCATCTCATAATCTACTTTTGCTCTCGTGGATAGGGAAACCTTGTATGCACAGACATCAATTAGCCTGTAAATAGTTAATTTCATTTGTTAAGCGCAAAGATTTGTTTTAAAACTTTCTAAATTCAGTTCTAATTTCCAGCAAACGAATAAATGAACAATAATAACAAATTGTGTTCAAACAACACACTTTATATCTAAAGAGTTATATCCAAATACACATGCTATGCCCCATATGGTCTGAAACCTGACAGGTGGGCAAATCTAAGCTTGTTTTTATTAAAACAATTATAAATATGCATATAATGAATAATACTGGTAATAATGATAACATTATACAAAAGCAAATTGTTATGAATGAACCCCCCGAGATGAAGAAGGCATGAAGGCAGTGGTTTTTAAATTTATGTAGGTTAGAAAATAATATGTTTTGTAATATTTTAATCCTTTATGTTTATATCATATATATATGGTATAAATAAAATCTACATCTTGTGTGTAAGCTAGGTGCATAACTAATGCACTCTGCGCTGGACTTTAGACCGGGGGGAGAGATTCTTCAAAATTAAGATGGCTTTTCTATGGAACTTAGGGTATTTATAGTGGCTTAGGTATAGTTTGATTGTTGAATCATAAATTGAATAATGCAAATAAAGCAATCATAAGCATGTGATCCTCTCGAAATTAGTTTATAAATAAACTTCACTTTGTGTTCAGCAAACCACAAATAGGTTTTAAAGTATAAAAAGAGTTGTTTTGAGAATATCATTTTTTGGTGAACTATCCCCTTAACAAGTTTAATATTCAAAATTAACAGAAAACATGTACAAAGAAAATCCTTCATGGACGACTGCTGTCTAAACAAAAACAAAAGTGCAACATAAATCTCCCAGGCCTTGTGCTCTCTTGTCTCTCTCTTGTGTACTGTCATTGCTCCTTCTTTTATCCTTTTAAACCTCCAGAGCTGAGGAGACTCTTTTAGATTTCACTGACCTGTACACAGCAGTCCAATCACAACAGACTGAGCTCTCTGACCAGTCAAGCTCACAAACAGGAGGGCTTTAGAAAGAATAAAACTTCAATCATTTAGACCTGTTGAGGAAAGAGGTGATGTAAAATGTATATTCAACAAAGGTCAAGTATTTTTGGTCTTGGATAAATATATTGAATTGGAGACCTCCAAAAAGGGGAGCTATTTTTTCAATAGCTTGGCTCAGAAGAACAGGTCTCAGCTTGGCTTCTCCCAATGTTTATAAATAAATATACATACATATATACATACATATATATATATATATATATATATATATATATATATATATATATATATATATATATATATATATATATATATATAAAATTTTTGCAGCCTAAAGAAGTTTAGGTCTCTTACTGTCACCTTTGGCTTGCTTGGTCAGTAGAGATGCCCTACAGGTGAATCCTATCCTTCATCATTTGGCATTCTTATTAACCTGAACTGAATCATCAGTGAACTGACTTGAATTAAAAATCATCTTTTCTCTTGACCAGCTTGAAATACTGAGCTTGTTTCATATGAAATTTGGTGCATGACTGCTTTTTTATAATAAATATTTTTTTGTGTGGGGGGGGCTTTTATGGAATTAATTTAAAGCTGCCTAAATAATTATATGTCAATGCATACATATTTCTATTATTATTGATATTTAATTGTTTAGCAGCTAGTTTATGAAAAGTGACTTGTACATTAAAGGTCCTGTGAAGTGCTTTGAAATATGCATTTTTATTCGATGTTTAATGTAGTCTTAACCCGAAACACAAAGAGAGGGCAGGCATAGTTATAAAGGGACAAATATTCATAAGAATCAAGAAGTGCTGCCATTGTTAGAAAATAGTAAAAACCAGAATATTCAAATCAGCGAATGTTTATTTCTGGGTGTTATTCATTTGGATGCTAAACCAGATAGAACCTTCGTATAGTGGGATTGCCTCTGCAAAATACTCTGGAATTATTATTGAGATGTCTGTGTATTAAGAATTAATCTCTCTCAATTCTACTGCAGGTAGTGTTTTTTGGTGTCTGCTGGATATTGTGCCTATTAAGAATGAGAAAGGAGATGTCGTGCTGTTCCTCGCCTCTTTTAAAGACGTCACCGACACCAAAGCCAAATCTACACTTGAGGAGAAGAAAGAAGGTTAGTACATGTGTGGTAGTGTGTGTACTGTATGTCTTGTGTGTGTATGTTTGTATAAGGAATTTCTGTAATAAATTTTGTAGAAGATATTCATGTTTTTATTGCTGAATAATATTGTTTGCTGTTTCTTCATCTTAAAATGTATTAAATCTTATAAATGATTTAAAATGACATTTTATTAAATCATTTATTTATTATTTTTTTAATCATTATTCTGATCAACTGGTTTTGTAATAATTATTTTTTACATGAGAATTATTTTAAAAATAATATTTGCTATTGTTACTATTGAATATGTATTAATAACATTTAATGTATAAATAGAACTTATATAATATAAATAATAATATAAATTAAATAATGATTGTGAAAAACTTATGGGATTTTTGGACTGACTATGATGTTGTAGTATAATTTTTATTAAACCATTTTTCCCCCTCTAGGGTTCATTAATATTTTGGGTTAAAGACCAAATTTTGTTTTATATTATTTTACTTAGCCATGTGTTTTTTAAGATCAAGTAGTGATTAGTTTATATATATATATATATATATATATATATATATATATATATTTTTTTTTTTTTTTTTTTTTTTCTTGAGCAGCTTACCATTAAAACTTTGAATTTTGGGTTTATTTGTATGAATTGTTGAATCAGATCATATTCACTAAATAAAAAATTTATGAATTTTCATTTGTAGCACCACATCGCTATTATCTATTTACAGCAGTGTTGGGCTATAACATGTTACTAGTTGTGCGTTACTGTAACAGAATTACTTTTGACAGTAACTAATACTGTTTTTTACTAATGTTTTAAACTAATACTGTTTTAAACTAATACAGTTACTTTTTAAATATATTAACTCAATCAACAACCAATCACTGTAAAGAAGATGCGTCATGTACGAGAAGCCAGACTGGACAAAAATAAAGTAAAAGCACAAAATTACATATTATACATATTATACATATTACATATTATAACAAAATTGATTAGTTTAGTAGACACAGTGACACATTTTTGTTATGTTTTAGAACCCCTTATTTAAATGTTTAGTGTTGTGTTGCTCAGGCAAAATGCTGTGATTTATTTTTGTTTTGTTTTAAATATAGCATTTTATAGCTGTTATACAACAGCAGATTTTTTCACTTTCAATATACACAGCTTACCTTGCTTGAGTTGCTGACATACCACTTTTGTGGTTAGTTTGAAAATTGTTCATCAATTTCATTTTTGAGCAGCTGTTTTGTTAGTGTTTTGTTTAAAATGCATAAAATTTATAGTGTTCTATAATAGCAGTTTTTGGTGCAAGTTTTACCAAATTGATTCTGAATGGTAATTCAGATTACATTAATTTATTTATTTTATAAAGGTTTTGTGTTTGTTGTATGTTGTCTATTTTTATGCTCAAGCTGTGAAGGAACATGTTTAAGGGTTAAATACAAACTTGTATGATGCTGAAAGCAACTTTAGATTTAGCTTTTTTGTTTCTGAATATATAATTCAGCTGGTTTATCACCCTGTGATATTTTCAATTTTGTGCTGCTGGTCTGGTCTGACTTAAATAAATTAGTGCTTAAAAATTACTTTTATTTAAGTTTGTCTTGTGTTTTAGTTATGAGAATGCAAATGAATTAAAACTGTGAAGCTGCAGTGTATTCTCTATGCAGGACTGAAGTGACAGTATAAGGGCATTAATGGTTCTTAAAAAAGGGTTCAGTAAAAGTGTTCTTTGGAAAAGTAACTCAAAAACGACTTAACTTAATGATGTAATGCATTACATTTTTTTGTAAGTAATCGATAAAGTAACTGAGTTACTTTTATACGAAGAGTCGGAAGGGACGTGATGGTGGAAATAAAATGGGTGGGAGATAAAACAGTGATATAAAAAAATGTTTTAAAAGTTTTTGCGTTATCTCGCAAACTGTTTTTTCACAAACACTTCCTGTTCACATCATACAGTTTATGGAATTCTCCCCTAGGCTATTTTACCATTCTATTCCGCTATCCCCCTATCATTAAGCATTTTCCCATGTTTTTCATATATTTTTAATCTTGAAAGTATGTTAAAATTTATATAAAAATGTCTGCATTCACTTTATTTCCATTAAAGCTGCGTGTCGTTCATCACCCTTCATATGCAACCTCAGAATCAACGAATGCATGTATAAGCCAATGACTGGTATAAGTCCTGACTAACAGACACGCTCTGTATGATAAACTGATCCCAGATCAGCTACTGTACACGCCATTTAAAAAGGAGCGAAAGTGCTGGACACTTTCGGATTCGGGTGTGTGTTTAAACAGGCAAATACGCTTAATAATATGTAAACATGTTTGTCCTGCATGTTTGATTTTTAAACACAACTAAATGTCTCTTAAATGAGCACAAGCAGTTGTTAAAGTAATCAAATGCTTTAATTATAGATCTGTGCATTCTTACAGTGACACCTCTGTTATCAAATGAAACGAAACAAAACGAGACATTCATTTGCTGCTCCTCACTTGTTTGATAACCGAGGTGTCACTTTAAGTGGCATGTACATAGGCTGATCTGGGATCAGTTTATGATACAGAACCCGTCCCTATTCGCAGATTCAGAGGTTGCATATGAAGGGTGATGATTGACGCGCAGCTTTAATAAAAAGAAAGTTAATTTTTATATTAAATTTAATGTGCTTTCAAGATTAAAAATACATGAGAAATATGGGAAAATACTTAATTATAGGGTGATGGTGTCACACCCGTGCTGCGTCCGAAACCGCCTACTACTCAGTAGGTACTGCATTTGAATTTAAACTGACTACTCGGCCGTTAGGAAAGTATGTTCTGTACAGTATGAATGTGAAAAGTATAAATGGAATTAGGACGTACTACATCCGCCATTTTGTCATGGTCACGCGACCTACCTGCGTAATTTGCGTCGCTTCACTCCCATTCATTAATTCGCTCGCGGGGCATCATGGGATAGCGCAGCGTGCATGGGATGCGCACTCCAGAATTTCGCCGGAAGTAGTAAGTCATCCGAGTACTTCTCGCATACTGATTTTCGAATTCTATGAATTGGGACATACAGTACTTTTCGGCTCACAAACTGATTTTAGCCTACTATATAGTATGGAAGTATACGGTTTCGGACCCAGCCCCAGTCTCCATTTCATCATGTGACACTCACAAAGTGCTCCTTTGTTCTGTTTGCCCACCATGTCATTATGTTTATCACCTCCACCTGTGTCTACCCCTGTATGTAATCAGTTTATCATCTCCTGTGTATTTAAGTCCCTGCATTCAGTTAGTCCCTGATCCGGCATCTCTCCTTGTGATGTCTTGTTTGTTGCTTGTTTTCACCTCATGGTCATCCAGTGTTCTTCCTTGTGAGTAATTATAATAAATAAATGTGTTTTGATAATCTTGCGAGCCTGTGCCTTCCTCAAGTGAACCCAGGGCGTTACAGATAGCACAATAGAATGGTAAAATATGGGAGAATCTTGGCAAAAACAGGAGGGTTGACTTGTATGAAGTGAACAGGAAGTGTTTGTGGAAAAACACTTTTGCGAGGGAATGCAAAAACTTAAAAAATGATTTTTCCTTTCACTCCCACCCATTTTTTTTCTACCACCTATTTTTTCCCCCCACCGTCCTGACCGAGTCCCCATACTTTTTTAATGGAGTAACTAGTAGCTATAACTAGTTACCTATTGTCAGTAACTAACGCAACAATGGTTTACAGTGTGTGGAATGGTGTGCTGGGATTGGTTGAGTAGCTATATTGTGTTTTGCAGAGAATGGAGACTAGCGTTTTCATAATTTTGAAAAATAACAAGAAAACATAATAGAATAATTAACCAGTTGTTGAATTTTACAAAAAATTAAAAACTGACTTTCATGAACTGAGATACAGTGCTGATTTTGTTGGAAACTTCATTTTTTAAATGTTTTTTTTTTTTTTTTTTTGGAACCAAATTCTTCATATATTGTTTAAGGCTTTTCATTATTAATGTCCTGTCAACCCAAAGCCTATGCCAGAACATAACTAGCAGGGGGGCATGCAACATGCAATCATGGGGCACATTATCAGCAACCATACATTTAATAAAAAAAATGAGGCATAAAGAAACCCAATACAGTGCAACAACTGGTACAGATCAGCTCATACTGTCAGCTCATTTCCCATAAATTGAAAAAGAAAGATCACAGAATTAATAATTATTACCAACAAAACAGGTTGACCTTTATTAGATGTAATACTGTTGGAATAGCCACATTTAAGTGTGTGTAATAAACACATGACTAACCTTTTAAAAAAGTAATAGGCGGCATGTACAAACCTTAAATCTCCTTAAAACAATGTCCTTCCATTTGGTTGTGGAATTTTGAGCTAGCTGTACCAACTGGGCCTTCTGTTCGTAAAGCATTGAACATCTGTGGTCAAAAACATTGAGGAGAAAGAATTCTACCATGTATTTGAAAATTCCGTCCCCACTCAATTACTCAAAATCTCTGAGTTTGGGATAGGTGGTGCTGTCTGAGAAGGCAGAGTGATAGGAGTATAATTTAAAGCTGAAGGCGACCTTTATATGTTAAAGAAGAAACAACGAGTCATTTTCTAATATCCATATTTTACCCTATCCTTAAAATATTGTGGGAAAAACAGGTTTCTAGCATCAAGGCTTTACTCCATGTACACATGCTAAAGATGCAATGATGCACAAGACTCCGCAACGCATCCAATCAGAGAAATGGGTCTCTTTTCATAAAAAATAAACACACATAGACTGTAGTTTTTACTTTTATTACATTAAAAATAATGGAACATTCAGTGGTTATTTGAACTATTCTATTTTAAATGAATAATAAAAAACTGTGTAGGGGTTCACATCACCCTCTTGGGAGGCACGATTCATGATGCACAAGCCCTAGTTGTGAAAGCAATATACAAACTGTTTCCTGTCAGAAAGTCACAGTAAAAAAAAAAAAAAGAGCCTATTAAAACATTTTTTTAATCCACTGGTCCAAACATGCCTATTACATAAGAATAATCTCTCATCTGAACCTTTTTCTGATTGTCTCGTTAAGCAGAGTTGGCCTGAAAAATACCTATTTATTGTGTGAGCGAGAACCCAGATCAGATACTGGCCTGGAGCACCAGAGAAAATCACGCCGAGCAGGGAATCCCAGAGCAACTGTGTCTGTCCACTTCTTTTTTTTTTCACACTTTTGTTCTCTTCCCTCTCTGTGTTTCTCCTGACCTGTGCTGCTGGTAAATTGGGAGTACATTTATTAGGATCTATAATAAGTGTTATGCCGCCGGACTCCCTGCTGACTGTAGTCTCTTATGGATGAGTTTGAGTCGCCCCTCTCCTCCTCTGGCCCTGCAGGCTGAAGTGATCTCCATCCCTCTCTAATAACCAGCTTCCCACTTTCCACTCTAGCCCTTCATCTCTTTCTCTTTCAGTCACACTCTCTCTCTCATTCTATCTCTCTCTATCTCTCTCTCTCTCTCTCTCTCTCTCTCTCTCTCTCTCTCTCTCTCTCTCTCTCTGTCGATCGCTCCATCCCTTCAGTCTTTTTCCTACTCCTGCTTTGGTTTCCCTTGGTACCTTGTTCAGCAGGGTTGCAATGAGTGACATTTTTCCTTCATTGCCCTCGGCAATTGAGACTGGCAGCCCGGCTGTCTGCTTGTTTTCTCAACTGGTGGACTTTAAAAGGGTACATGCTATTTATTTTATTTTTTTAAATATATTTTTTATTTCATGTTTTTTTATTTATAATTTATGAAAGATTTACAGTTGAAGTCAGAATTATTAGCCCCCCTGAATTTTTTGCCTCGCTGTTTATTTTTCCCAATTTCTGTTTAACGGAGAGGAGAGAAGATTTTTTCAACATGCACATTTCTGAACATTATAGTTTCTAATAACTGATTTACTTTATCTTTGTCATGATGACAGTAAAAAATATTTGACTAGATATAAAAAGAGGCTAATAATTTTAGTAATAACAATAATATATTATCAATATTTTGTTGATTTTTTTTGTAGTAAAAAGGTTTTTTTAATTGATGAAAAAATCTAAAGATTCTGTACACTACAGAAAAGAAACTACTTTTGTCAAACAATTTGAAGTGCAGTTTTCGCTTCAGCCTGGAAGTAAATATCCCCTAACAGACTTTTATAGCCGTTCTAGACCTTAAAAACTAAATCAGTTGAACTACAGTCACTCGAACAATTAAAACAGATGTGTTGAATATAAGTATACAGATATTTTGGCAGCAAAGCAGCATTAGCTGAAACCACAGGTGTAAAGCAGGTCAACAGCAGAAAGTTATTCTCGTTTCACATCAGCTTTTGTGTAACAGCAGCATAGAGGGCAGTAGAATGAGAACAGGCCATTTTCAATTAAAAAAATAAATAAAAATCGCAATCAGTAATAAGGGCAATCATCATTTGCATGGAAGTATTGATGGAAAATCTCTCCATCCTTCTTCACAAAGCAACAAAAATGCTCTCTCAATTATCAGCTACATTTTCTTTCGACAGTATTTTTTATTTTTTGCAAGCTTGTAACATTTGTGGATCCAGCTGGAGCCTGCAAACCATGTGTACTGGTTTAAATGTGTTTTTAAATGTGTTTAAACGTTTTTTTTTTATTTGGCCTTATATTAGATAAATATTCTTACAGTACATTTAACTCATAATAATATCAACTCAAAACAATAGCTATGTTTTGTAGCTGTGAATTTAATGTGTGAGTAAAACAGGAATATTACATAAATAACCTGCAAATAAACCACAGTGGAATGGAAACAGTGGTTTACGTCCTAGTGGTTTACAAATTATTGACAATAGAAGGTTTTTTAACTGGAGAAACCGCTGTAGCTCCAAATGTATTTGCAAAATAATGAAGGGCTGTCACCATCTTGCTTTTTGTCTCCATTCCTCCTAGTAGTCCCCATGTTGCCCCCTGCATTAGTTCTTCCTCGTGTGTTTTTGTTTAACTTAATTGCAATCACATGTGACTTGTTTCAGCCATGTTATTTAAGTTGTCACCTTTTCACTGTTCCTCACTTGTTTTTATTTATTTATTTATTTATTTATTTATTTGTATTAACCATAAGCTCAAGTATAAACCATTATGGCATATTTAACAATCCAATATAGTGTTAGTGTTAATATAAAAGTACATGACTAGGAACAGGAAACCGCATACTTCCATAATATATAGTACTCTAAAATCAGTATGCGAGCCAAGTAGTATGTCCTAATTCATATAATTAAAAGATCAGCATATGAGAAGTACCTGGACGATTTACTACTTCCGGACAGATTCAGATTCTGAAGTGTGCATCCATGCTGCATTATCCTATGATGCATCTCGCTACAATTCATGAATGGGAGTAAAGCGAAGCAATGGACACAAGTCACGTGACCATCACAAAACGACGGATGTAGTACGTCTGAATTCCATTCATACTTCTCACATTCTTTATAGAACGTACTTTTCTAACGGCCGAATAGTATGTTTAATTTGAAATGCAGAAGTAGGCAGTTTTGGACGAAGCTATAGACAAACAAAAATAATTTTTTTTTTTTTTTAAAAAGGCATGAGGGTCTTAGTCAAGTAATAGAAACAATCTAAGGCATGTGGAAACATTCAGGCTTTTCTGTTCCTAATGAAGTGAAGAGACTTTACGAACATCATCAGATCATTCCTCCATCCATTAAAGTGGGGTTTCACCTTTACAAATTTGCATGATGTTCTTTGCAAATTTGCCTCACCAGGTTTTTGAGTCATTACTTGCCTTGTGGTCTCTTGACCTCCTGATCTACATTTAGTAAGACTCCTGTTTCCCTGTTGCTTGCTGCTATATTTTTGTTGTTTTCTTCCATTGTGGTGTTTCTTTTAGTATTTTTATTATGCTTTTATAACCTTTTGTACCTCATCTGTTTTGCTACCTAATTCTAAAAAGAATATAAGTTGTACGGAGTGAGTGTGTGTGTGTGTGTTTAAATAAAAGATCCTTGTTTTCCTACTTTGAGTGTTTTGTTTGTGTCCAACACAACCAACTGCCCAGTGGTATATCGCACCAGTCTCCACACCAGAGACCCGGGTTTAAAACCTGTCCATATCAATGGCACAAAATACAAACTGACATGTTATCTCTTAGTATTTTTTAGAATCACAAACTTGAAAGACAGTTCTAGTTCTTAACAATTTTAGTTTTGTTTTATTTGGTTTTGAAATCAAAATGTTGTGCTTTTTTAAATCCTAAAGTTTTATTTAAATACATGCTTTTGTTTTTACTTTTTTTTAGTACTTAATCTAAACTTTTTTTGCGTAGGCTTTAGCCTTCAATGGTTTCTTGTTTTACTTTATATTGTAGATCGAATATACTGATTGTTATTTTATTTTATTTTTTTTCTTTAGATAAAACTTTAGGCTTTTCAGGCTACAGTAAACCATAACATTTTATTTTAATATATGGTTGGTTTTGTTTCCTTTAGTATTTAATCATTATTTAGTAAGATTTTTTTGATTAGCATTTTTCTTTTCTTTATCTTTTTTTAAGGTGAAAAGAACCTCAGGACCATATGAAGTTCTGTCTGAAAAATATGTTCTTTGTTGTTTTTATGTATTAATAGAGTTTTTTTTGTGCTGTGTGTATTTATTCCTTGATGCATTGTATCCCTCATTGCCCTTGACTTTAATAACAACAGTCCAACCTTTTCTCAGAGTGCCGGCGTGAGAAGGTCAAGGGAGACTCTCCGTTTGGCTCCACGAGACTGCGATCAAGCACAGTTCTCTACCACATTTCAGGACACCTGCACAACCGTCAGAAACAGAGCAAAATTAAACTTAACAAGGTGAGGCCATTCAGATACTAATGATACAGAAAAATACAGAAACAGGTCTTGTTTAACACATGGCATTTTGGTGTTTTCTTTGATTTGATTGCAAGCGGTTGATGATAAATACAGGTGTAAATTGTTAATGTTTAAAAAATTTTGACCACATCCAGAGGAATTACAAAAGACTAAAACAATTGCATGTTTTCTTCTGAAAGCAGTTTGATTGTCTGCTCGATTGTCCTGGTGTGTTTGTTGTTTGTTCGTGGCATGCTTGTTTCATTCTCCAGCTTTAGTCAAGTTCTGTTTCGGTGGGCACTGGGATCAAAACTTGCATGTTGCATTTGCGAGTGCATGGTAAGCGTTTTGTTTATTGTGATGTTGATGTTATTGTGATTATGATGTTTTATGTGAACAAGTGATTAATAAATGTTTTCATTGGCTTCTAGTTCTAGTTTCATGTGAACACATGGTTTGTGTGTTCTCTCTTTGTGCCATGGGCTCTCTTGTTTTTTGATCCTAATATTAGTTCACTTTGTTCACCTGATTATTTGCTTATTAGTTAGTAATACTGCTGTCCTGTGCCAGTTTGTCATCAATGTTTACTGAGAGTCGTCTTGGCAGACACACAACTTCATAAGACGTTAATATTAGGTTAGATTTAGGTCACCAGGGTCAAAGGACAATGTTATTTTGACTTCCAGTAACGATAGCCAATGACAGTGACTACATTTACATGGACATGCAGTAATCAAATAATTTTACATAGTTATAGCACATAATTCGATTAATGTCATTGTGTCATAACGCTATCCACATTTCAGGTAATCTCGGATGTTTAATTTTTAGTTTGTTGTGTGTAAATGCAGTTTGGCACTATCACTTTCATTCAGGAAGATTTAATGCATGCCCCTCTGCATTTCACGATTCAGGTGTTTGTGGTCCTTCATTGACTGGGTAAGAGCAGAAAATAGTGTCATTTATTCATCAGGTATGGCAATCAAAATCTAATGTCTGATAGATGTTATATTGGTAATGTCCACACAACGTCAAGGTGTTACATCAATAGACGGTGAATTGTGTTTAGGTTGTGTTGGAAGTAACCAAAAATGCAACGTCTGTCCGAGGTTGGACATTGACTTTGGCCTTATGTTGGGTTCTGACAATTTCAGTTCTAAACAAAATCCCAGCCCAGTCTCATCTGTCTTTTATTAATGTTTTCCCCCTTGGGTTATTTTTGTTATGTTTTATTTTACTATTAATAAAATCTATTTTGTTACTGCGATGCAGAGAGTCCTTGCTCTTTTCCCTTTCCGCAACTGTAATCGTATGTATATTTGAGTGATGATACTTTGCTCAATATGATCAGTTATTGCAGTTTTGTTCATTACAAGTCGATACAATTACAGTATTTAAATGTAACGTATTGATGATGTTTTTTTATGTCTCTCTTAGATATTGTTTACATCTGGGTCAATTCATGTTGGGTTTTTTCTAATCAAAAAGCTATTTGATGGTGAATGGATGCGTATATATCCGACTGCCCAAATCACTTCAGGAAGTGGTCTGGGGCTCACTCCAGATGTAACTGGAATGTTCTAAATGCATCTGATTGCTAAAACCACATATTTATATTTTACTCCTCCCAAAATGTAAAAATAATGCAAATGCAACACAATGGCAATGCCACAGATGGCAGTTTGTTTCATTTTATTGTATTATGTTTTATTTTATTACATAATAAAATCAAATGGCGGCGTTGACAACGGATACACATTATTCACTTTTGGTACCTCTGTGAAAGGAGAGGAATAATAATGAAAAAATAGAACATTTCTATTGGGTAGATTGTCTTGTTTTTGGCAGAGTAATTTATACAGAAATGAATTGTAAACCATGTAAGTTCTGAATGATGTCTTGCACGCTTCAGTAAAACAAAAATAGATTTTCCTTGGACGCAGCCCTGAGATGTCATGCCCTTTTATGAAAATCAGAATGAGCTTTATTTATCAAATGTGCACAAATACCCAAGATATGTTTCTTGTGGTTTACAGGAGCTTGGGGTACAGACATTTTGAGAACAAAACTGACATTTAAAGAAGTGATAAAACAAAGTAAATGATAAAATTTGGCCTATTGGCTGAATAAAAGTTGGGCCTATTCAGAATGAAAAAAAAAAAGTTATATATTTTTAAATACATTGAGTTATATATGTAAATGAGCAGTATCAAATAAGAAGCAGTACGATATGGCATTTATACAATAGTTCAATGACATGTAATGTAATGTGTATTTATATAGCGCATTTATTGTGTATGGCCATACACCCAAAGCGCTTCACAATCATGAGGGGGGGTCTCTCCACACCACCACCAGTGTGCAGCATCCACTTGGATGATGCGACGGCTGCCACAGGACAACGGCGCCAGTGCGCTCACCACACACCAGCTATTGGTGGAGTGGAGAGACATAATCATGTATATAAAAAAAGAAACACGGAGAGTCTCAAACTTTCCACCATTCATTCATATCAGCAGCTGACAGACAGAAACCATTGCTTAAAAACACATTTCTTTAGAACTAGTATTTGAATGATTCTCTACCATAATATCTAAAGAGATGACAAATCCGGTGAATTTGCTTACATTTTATGATTATAAGGCTGAAGGGCATGAAATGCCATCAGTCTACAGAGTTTTCCCAGTATTTCTTTGTTGCAACCAGGAGATCACAATAATTAACCACGAAAAAGCCAGAGCAAAGCAAGCACTAGCAGATTACTATGGTATAAATACAACATTACAAAATACAAAAGAGAGAGAGATCGACATTGAATGTCACTTACTTGCTTTATAGTGATTTGATCAGCTCTAGTTTGATATACGCAAAAAAAAAAAAAAAAATGCTGTGTTTTTCACCCCTAAGAGCTTATTATATGGTCTTTGTCGCCACCTTGTTGCTCAACCGTCTTTGCTCTGTTCAGTATGACAGGCTGAGATGGCCGCTGAATCTCAGAAATTATAAATATTTGAATTAGGCACTATCTTTATTTAAAAAAAACTGCAATTTTGCAATCTAAATAACTACATTCTCACCTAAAAAGCCTCAAAAATACTTTGTTTCCAACAGCTGCAATATTTTTCAAACCTTAGTGAGTTTATTGATCTGCTGTCACTCTATGTGGGCTTAGTAATACACAAGGTGTAATCACAGGGTGAAGAGGCTGCATGAGTGCTGTTACTGCAGAATATTGCACAGGGCCGGAGTGGGACTCCTTTTCAGCCCTGGAGTTTCAAGCCTCAGACCGGCCCACCTCAGTTCATGACTGACTATATTAAAATAAGGTCATTTCCAAATCAGTTTCTAATGACTTTTTTTTTTTTTTTTTTTTGAGAAAACAGCTGTTTTAGAACTTCAAATGTTCAACAACCCTAACAGTATTATATGTCTTAACAATAAAAATGAATAAAAAAAAAACTTAGATGGGGATCGAACCTGGGTCAGCGGTGTCATAATTTAGCATGCTATCCACTGAACCACAACAGTTAATGAATGAGCAAAGACTCATCTTAGTTATATCATGATCAACTTGCAGGCTACAGCTTGTTTTCTACGCTGCGAGAAAATAGATAAAGAGTAGAGCTGGGGTAAAATAATGAATAAAAAGGCTGTGGTCAAGTAAATAAATAAATTTAAAAAGTGTGGCTGCTGAGAGCAACAGATTCTGGAGCTAGGGATACCGGCCCTCGCGGCCAAAAAACGGACCGGCTCACCGGGAATTCTCCCGGTCCTCCCGATTGGCCAATCCAGGCCTGATATTGCATGATCAGCCAATCAGATTTGAGAACCAGACAGAACGGTTGTATCAATAAATATATATTGCATATTTTAGTGGTTTATTTTTAAAAATTTGCTCAGTATATTTAGCAATAAAAATGTTGACCAAAAATTAGTACATTATACTTTTAAAAGTATTTTGAATGTATACTTAAAATAAAAAAGTATACATTCATACTTTCTATACTTAAAAGTAAAAAAGTATATTTTAAAAGTATATTTTTAGTGTGTACAGAATGTTAAATGCACAAGCTTATTTTCCAAAACAAAAGTTCAAAACTCAAACACAGATTCACTTTACTAGAAAAAAGCCGAAAGTGGATTAAAGAGACACATGTAAACATCAGGTGTGAACAACAAGGTGTCTTTCTTGTCAAATCAACCAGATTGCATCCTAATTCCAGGGCCAAAAAACATGTTAACTTACACAAATTGTTCTCTCTTTTTCTAGAATGTGTTTGGGGATCCACCCGCTCTGCCTGAATATAAAGTCGCTGATGCCAAGAAATCCAAGTTCATTCTTCTCCACTTCAGCACCTTTAAAGCAGGCTGGGATTGGCTGATCCTTCTGGCTACCTTTTATGTGGCTGTTACGGTGCCGTACAATGTTTGTTTTATAGGTGATCAAGATTTGACACGCAGCACCACCGTCACTGACATTGCTGTTGAGATACTCTTTATCATTGGTAAGACATTATTTTTAGTTGGTCCATTACATAGTACATTTTTCATTGTGAGCATGATTATGATTTATGTGATTATATTACATCTGTATCTTTATATATGATTAGAATCAGGTCTTTAAATCAGTTTCATGGTCTTTGACTTCCTCCATTAACTCAGTCTTATACCACAGGGAAACACACTGCATCATTCTCCTTTAGTTGTGGTGCATTGGAGAAAAAAATATACTGTGTTATTGGAATTAAAAAGGGTAACTTGTACAAAAATAAATAATTATTATTTTTTTTTAAACAGAAGTTGTTTAACCTTCTTTTGCTGTACATAAGAGCATATTTTTATATACTCTTAACCACCAGCAGTGTCACAATGGCATAAAGTAATGGAAGATCACCATAAACCCTGGTTATTTATTTATTAATGATTATTTTATTGTGTATTTGTATTTCATTATTTGACTTATATGACTATTTTTAGGCTCTGGTTGGTTTATATTGTGATGATTAATGATACTGTGATACTGGGGAATTTACTGGTTGTATTATGTGGTTATATTTCTGTTAAACTAAAGGCAAAGAAAAAAAGACATTTGACATTTTAAATTCACTCCACGACTGATGTTTTGGAGTTTTACCTTAAATCCCCCTTGCACTCATGCTGTGCTTCTTAAATTGCACTGTTATTTATTTTTTTCTGCATCTTTGTGAGCTTAAATAGATGTCTTTGTTCACAGATTGTTTGCAATTTTAGAATAGCATGAGCCGTAAGGCATGCTGATCCCATGCTGTTTAAAAAATAAAACGTGTTATATAGGGTGACCGGTGAACACGTGGTTATTGTTTTGTTGAGACTGAAGGTGTCGTTGTATATGGGGAGAGACATGTTTAGGCAAAATATGAAATATCTTGGATGTATTTTTACTGAGTAAACCACTATTTTGCAGATGGGGTCAAAATGACCTCAAAATTTGTAGACAATTTTCAGGGCTGTGAAAATGACTTTAGAAAGATGGCAGAATCGTTATGTTGTTATTACACAGAGATTGGTTGGGTTATTAGTGAAATCTGTTGACTTTTGCAGTCTTTGTTTCATCATATGCCAATTGTGACAATTTGAAATAGGAAAAAGTACTTTTTTTGGGGATTGTTCCAACATTTGTGAGCCTGCAACATGACGTATTACAGATATTATATTATACTTTTTTTTTTAGATGATGTTGTTTTTAACAAGCATTTCTTTTTTACTATCTTCAATTTTAAAGCTATATGGTGGTCATTTCCAGAAATATAGGAATGTCAATGCGATGTGTAAATACACATAACCAAAAAACAAACATGACCCCAATTGGCAAACACATCTTTAAAAAAAATAGGTAACACTTTATTTTGATGGTCCATTTGAGTATTAGTCAGCTTAAAATCTGTTGATACTGCTTCTTAGACAGACATTTAACTGACTATAAGAAACTTTGCAAGTACATATCAACTTACACTAACCCTAACCCCAACCTAACAGTCTAATGGGAATTAGTTGGCATGTAGATGCAATGTAACTAAAATTCAAGAAATGGACCATCAAAATAAAGTGTGAGCAAACAATAATGTATGATGAACAAATCACTTTGAAAATAGAAATTTTCAAGTTCTCATCAAGTTCTATCAGATATAGATCTGGTGACTGTGAAGGCCATTTGAGTACAGTGAGCTCATTGTCATGTACAAGAAACCAGTCTGAGATGATTCCCGCTTTATGACATAGCAGGTTATCCTGCTGGAAGATGTCATTAGAAGATGGGTACACTGTGGTCATAAAGGGATGTACATGGTCAACAACAATACTCCGGTAGGCTGTGGCACTGACATGGTGCATAAGTTGGTACTAATGAGCCCTAAGTGTGCCAAGCAGCCTGAACCATTAATACAAGGCAGGATGGATCTATACTTTCATGTTGTTGACACCAAATTCTGACCCTACCATCTGAATTTTGCAGCAGAAATCGAGACTTGTCAGACCAGGCAGCATTTTTCCTCTATTATTGTCCAATTTTGGGGATCTTGTGTGAAATGTAGCCTCAGTTTCCTGTTTTTAGCAGACAGGAGTGGCAACTGGTGTGGTCTTCTGCTGCTGTAGCCCATCAGGGTTGGATGTGTTGTGCTCTTCTGCATATCTCGGTTGTAGAGAGTGGTTATTTGAGTTACTGTTGCCTTTCTATCTAGAATCAGTCTGGCCATTCTCATCTGAACTCTGGCATCAACAAGGCTATTGCTCCAACAAAACTGCCGCTCACTGGATATTTTCCCTTTTTTGGACCAGTGACTGTTAACCCTAGCGATGGTTCTACTTGAAAATCCCAGTAGATGAGCAGTTTCAAAAAATACTCAGACTATCCCATCTGACACCAACAACCATGCCACATTCAAAGTCACTTAAATCCCTTTTCATCCCCATTGTGATGCTCAGTTTGAACTGCAGCAGATTGTCATGACCACATGCCTAAATGCATTAAGTTGCTGCCATGTGATTTGCTGATTAGACATTTGCGTTAACGAGCAGTTGGACAGGTTTACCTAATAAAATGAGTGTAGATTGGTCTTCTTACTCAAATTGTTGAATTTTACCCAGTACATCCAGCCTGTATTTGGTGTATTGAAAGAATGATGTCTGGAAAATCAATACTATTTCAATCTGTCTTGTTTCCTTCTATAAAATTTATTAAACACCACATGCCTCTCTGTGAGGCTATTTTCCCCCATAACATTGTATGCCTGTAACTCAGTATTCAAGACTTTAAATTCATTTTAGATTTTTTTTCAAAAGAAACTTTCCTTTTTGAATCTTCATTTTTAAGACCTTAAATGATTCAGTCCTGGAAGTATTGGGATCTCAGGGCTGTAAAATAAAGTTACAAGACTGCATTTTAAAACTCTTGGTAGCTTCAAAAGCTGTCCTTCTTAAATGTCTTGGAAACTAATTTAAATACAAAATCAAAATACTAAGAGCAAGTTAATGTGACTCTTCTAGACCATTTCAATATGTTTTTGGCAGTCAGTATGTTCTATGCAGATGTATTGGATTGCACTGAATCTTGAATTACAGGTACATAAACTTTGCAGAAAAAGTTTGTCCACCCCCATTTTGAACTGTCAACATGAATATTTTTATGCAACAGAATTACCATAACTTTCATTTTTCCACAAAATGTTGGATTATTCAGCAAATCCACATCCAATACATTTAATAGTTTGGTTTTTTAGAATTAAATAGCAAGATTGTCGAAACATTTGTAAATGAACCAATTGCAAAAACACCAGTAATAAAATTATGTTAATGTTTTTTAACACTGATCCTTAAATTTTATTTTGGATTTGTGACTTTGATAATAACTATTATAAAAGCCTGGTGATTATATTTTGCTGACAGTGTATTGAGTGTGACTTATTCTTTCTTCATTTTGTTCTCTGTGATAACACTTGATATATCTGGCAGAAAAGAAAATTCTGTTAGAATTGCTTTAAAAAACACTGTGTTTTTTCATGGAGATTAAGCTGGTGGTGTTTTTTTTTTTTTTTTTTTTTTGGTAAGACGCTTACTCTGTCTATTCTGTCACTTCTCCAGACATCGTGTTTAGTTTCCGCACGACGTATGTGAGTAAGTCTGGGCAGGTGATCTTCGATGCTCGGCAGATCTGCATCCATTACATGACCACCTGGTTCATCATCGACCTGGTTGCTGCTCTCCCCTTTGATCTTCTTTACGCTTTCAAAGTCAGCGTGGTGAGTAATGCATATATTAAGAAAATTATAATGACTGTATCAGGGGAAAATCTGCAGGAACATGTTTTCACAGCTTTTAGGTGCATTTTGAATTTATAAAATGTGCATAATTTTACCAATAAAATCAGCCCTTGCAGAATCCGAGCTTGCAGAACAAATACCAACCATGGCAAGGATTGGCTTTGAATTTGGGGTAATTAAGCCATTTGGCTTTTAGCTATGTGCAATAATACATCAACATTTCATATTAGTGATGTTCAAAATAAATATAACTTACCTACTAAAACTATATATATATATATGGTTTATTGTGGGTATGTTGTTTACATGAATAAATCTGTGTTACAAGTTAAACACAAAGTGTAATAAACAGTTATATTTTGAATTTAAATAGTTTTTGTTTTGCGTTTACATTAATTGTACATTTGAATAGCCAAAATTACACTTTTCAGAATTTTAAATACGATTAATCGCGATTAATTTTCAAAATAAAGTGGGATTAATTAGTTAATTTTTTTAATTGATTGACAGCACTATATCTATCTATCTATCTATCTATCTATCTATCTATCTATCTATCTATCTATCTATCTATCTATCTATCTATCTATCTATCTATCTATCTATCTATCTATCTATCTATCTATCTATCTATCTATCTATCTATCTATCTATCTATCTGTCTATCTATCTGTCTATCTATCTGTCTATCTATCTATATATATAGTTGAAGTCAATGTTTAACAGAGCAAGGAAATTTTCACAGTATGTCTGATATAATTTTTTTCTTCTGGAGAAAGTACTATTTGTTTTATTTCTGCTTTATTTCTAGCAGTTTTAAATTTTTTAAACACCATTTTAAGGATAAAATTATTAGCCCCTTTAAGCATTTTTTTTAACTGTCCACAGAACAAACCATCATTATACAATAACTTGACTAATTACCAGAACCTGCCTAATTAACCTAATTAACCTAGTTAACCCTTTAAATGTCACTTTAATCTGTATAGAAGTGCCTTGAAAATCATCTTGTTAAATATTATTAACTGTCATCATGACAAAGATAAAATAAATCAGTTATTAGAACAATTATGTTTAGAAATGTATTGAACAAATCCTCTCTCTGTTAAACAGAAATTGGGTGAAGTATATGTGTTATATATATATATATTGTTTTAATATGTGACTATTATTTTATCACTGGCTAGAAACCTACACTACCTGACAGAAGTCTTGTCGTCCTTAAAAGTTTTAGTAACAACAAATAATAAATTGACTTCTAATTGATCATTTGGTATCAGAAGTGGCTTATATGAAAGGCAAAGGCCTCTAGGTTACGTTTTATTTTACCAAAATAAAATATGATCATGCCTTGATTTTCAATTATTTTATTAGGACAGTAAGCTCTGACTTTGCTCAAACAAAATTCTTGTGACTTACCAGAAATAATGTACAGTATAGAATATAAATCATGGTGCAGTGAAACATGAATTAATATTGTGTATGACTCCCATGACCTTGGAAGACTGCATCTATACATCTCTGCAATGATTCAAATAACTTATTAGTAAAGTCATCTGGAATGGCAAAGAAATTGTTCTTGCAGGATTCCCAAAGTTTATCAAGATTCTTTGGATTTATCTTCAATGTCTCCTCCATCTTACAACAGATATGCTCAATGAAGTTCATATCTGGTGACTGGGCAGACCAATCCTGGAACACCTATACCTTCTTTTTATTCAGAAATTTTGTAATGTAATGGGCAGCATTGTCTTGATACATCAGGCTGTTGATGTTGCCATCTACTCTGCAGATCTCCCGCACACTCAAAACTGAATGTAACTCCGAACTATGATTTTTCCTTTTCCAAACTTGACTGGTTTCTTGAGAATCTTGGGTCTATGCAGGTTTCAATAGGTCTTCTGTAGTATTTTTGGTAATGATTGGGATGCAGTTCAACAGATGATTCATTGGAAAAATTGACCTTCTTTCACTTTTCCAAATGATCAACTAGAAGCCAAGTTATTATTTGTTGCTATTACGATTGAGATCGATGACAAGACTTTTGTCAGGTAGCATACATTAAACAACAGTTATGACCAGGAATAGGCTGGATTTTCTTTAGGTTACTGAATTTAGCTAAACGATTAGTTTTAGCTTCCTTTAATATAAAACAAAGCACTAAGCAGCAGCGGCACTCTGTTAGCTGACCCTGCATGTGAACCGTGAAATGTTTTTTTTGATAGCATCATGGATGTAGAACTTTTAATGAGTGATCCTGGGTTCAGGTACTGTACAAATAAAGATGTATAGCAGGGTCTAAAATTGGCCGCCTCTGCCTCTGACCACTCTTCTATAAAAACAAGGATAACCGGCTGCTGATTTTAATTCACAGAAGAAGACAGTCAGCTTTTCTAGCCAATCCAGACTGGCGGAATCGATCAGTAATACTTGGAAACACAGACTTACAGTGATGACACATGCAGTAAATGAAACCCTGCATCCCTCTGTACAGCCAAACACATCCAAAGAGCACTCGAAATCCAGCGAGGCTTATTAAGAGAAGGAGAGTGAAACGCAGAGGACTTTACTTGAGCACCACTGTAATACAGACCTTGTTGTCTCTGAGATGTTCCTTTAAATCTGCTCCAATTACAGATTGCACCTCTGCTCCTTTGGTATCCCTTCATACCTGCCCTTCAGCTACAGTACACTGAACACACACACACACACACACACACACACACGCGCGCACAGACGTGTGCGCGCAAGCCCAAAGAAGACATCAGATATTTTTTTAGTATATCTTTTACTCCACTCGTCTTTCTTTTTTCTCTTGCCCATTTTCTTTCTCCTGCTCAATTAATTTACCCTTTCCTGGTTTTCTTTTCCTATCCTGTTCTTATCCTTTCCTCTTAACTTACTTTTCCTTGTTATTGCCAATCTCCTTTTCCTTTTTCTACTTCTTTCTGTTTCCTTTTCCTATCCTTGGGTGCGTTTCCTAAAACCATCGTCAGCCAACTAGGTTGAAAGTTGTTGTCATTACAAACATAGTTCAGTGATTCTGTGTTTCCTGAATTGGGCCACCCTTAGCTACAACTGCATGAAAGGGTTTTCGAAAGTTTGCAATGAGGCATTTACGGTGATGTGGAGGATTCTTGCCCTCCTCATCTATGCAAATTTGTTGTAATTCAGCCACATTGGAGGCTAAACTGCCTTTTTAAGGTCATGTCTCAGCATCTCAATTGAAATCAGGTCTGGACTTTGACTAGGCCACTCAAAAGTCTTCATTTTGTTTTACTTCAGCCATTCAGAAGTGGCTCAACCACCAGGCTGCAGATTGGTACTGTTTCATGGATCACTTGGTACCAGGCAGCACAAGAAAACATTAATTATTATTGCTTTATTTATTATCTGAGTCTGATTGATCTTTTAATTTAAAAAATATTATATTCATTGAGTGACAAATAGCTTAATTACTGTCAGAGCGAAAGCAATGCTTTTGTGAGTTTGTTATACACTGAGAAAACGGTTGAATTAAATGATTGAATGGTTTAATAACCTAACAACCCCCCCCCCCCCCCCCCCCCAAGTTTTGCTTTAGCTTGAGGTCACTAACAGATGCTGGACATTCTTCTTCTGGATATTTTGGGACACAGTAGAATTCATGGTTCCATTCATCCCAGCAAATATTCCAGGTCCTAAAGCAGCTAAATAGACTATCACACCACCTCAACCACCACCACATTTTACTGTTGGTATGGTGTTCTTTTTCTGAAGTATAGACGCCACACACGCTCACACTTTTCAAAAAGTTGTTGGAAAAAAAAAAGTTGTTGTTGATGCTTTTGTTTTGGTCTTGGAACTCTTTCACCCAAACCATTTTTGCCCAGACTCTTTCTTATGGTGGAGTCTTGAACACTCACTTTTACTGAGGCAAATGATGCCTGATGTTCATTGGACATTATGGGGTTATTTCAGTCAGCTGGCCACTTCAAGAGAGGTTCTCCATTGTTCCATGTTTATGCCATTTGTAGATAATGTTTGATGATCTGAAACATTATATTGAGATAAACATGACAAAAGTGAGTCAGTATCAAATACAAATTACTTGTATAACACATATTTGATTAAATTTAACAAATTTATAAAAAACAAAATCCATATATATCTATAGAATGTTCTCCACCCTTTCTGATGAATGTCATGGCGAAAATTTAGCATTTTAATTTATGGGGTTCAGACTAGGGATCACTGACAGAGTTCAGGAAAGACTTGTCAATACATAATTATTTTCTGAATGATGCATCGTAATATGGTAGTTACACTGTGAATTATGCCTTTGTTTGGGAAACGCACCCCAAGTACCCCACCCCACCCCACCATTCCTTTCCCCTCCCCCTTCTTCTTCCCTTCCCCTCCCGTTTTAATATCATTTCCCTTTCCCCCCCTTCCCTCCCCTTCCCAATTCCCTCGTCCCCCTTTCCTGAACCCCTGCCATAGTCTTACCATTTACACCCCATTTCACTCCCTTAACTAATTTTCTACCAGCTGTTCAGCCTTTTTCTTTCTTTAATGACATTAATGTTCATTGGTTTTGCTTCTGAGACCATCATCTCCTGGTGTTTATTAATATTTGATTGTCAAATGAAAGATTGTGGCCATTACAACATGGATTATTATTTAATGCTGCAGGGACGTGAAAGGCTTGTTTCTCACTGGGATTGTCTGTCTGATTATAAGAGAGGCTGTGATGAATATCGTCGGCTAGTTACTGCCTTAAGCTCTGGACAAACTGATCTAATAGCAGTGTGTATGCATCTGTTTCTGTCCTGGAATGTGTGAAAGTTCGTGTTCAGGTTAATATGAAAGTGTTAGTCATGCTAAATATATAGTTACAGAATATATATGGGCTGTTTAAATCTCTCTCTCTTGCATGCTTGTTCACTTTAATCTTTCATTAATACATAAAACATTACATATAAATGAATTTATTACAG